AGAAGAGACACCAGAAGTGTCAAAATTAGTGCCAGAGGTGCCAGAATCTAGAGAACAATGCAGAACTTCAATACATTGGTGCCAGAGGTGCCAAAACTGGCGCAAGAAGCGCCAGAGATGAATTAAAATGGAGTAAGGCAGTTAGTGTTTATTTTTGAGTGGTTATAGAAGGCTCCAATAAATCAAACACCCTGTGGAGTGATTCAATGCATCTAGACACTTTGGAAAGGCTCTTGAATGAAAAGATATTATTGTTTGATGAAGGGAGTTGTCTCTTAGTGTGAAGAGGTGTGCATTTTGAGAAAAAGAAAGGGAATTTTGAATTCTTTTTGAAAGAAAGGTTGGCCCTAATTATAAAGAGAGGAGATTCTAGAGAAGAAAGGGAGGCATGCGTGAGGTTTGAGAGAGAAATGTCTTGGAAGAAGAGAGGGTTATCTTCTAGAGTTTTAAGAGGAGAGAGAACGTCATAGATTTTTTCTTCATTAAATTTATAAGAGAGAATTGAGTGTAATTGCAAAGAGAGAAAGTGCTTAAAGGGAACTTCAAGGGATTTGCTTGAGAAGAAGTGTGAGATAAGTTGTGTTATTTTCTTTCTTTATTTTGTAAACTTGTTTTTATATATAAAATCTATGTTTTGTCCTATCCTTCTCATGAATTCTAAGTAGTATTCTTTATCCTTCTTCCTATAATGAGATATGGTTTTGTAAAGAATTAAGTTTGTTATGAAAGCTTTTAAATGTCAATAAATTGTGATGATACGAACTCTGGTCTTCATTTACTTTTTGATTTAGCCAATTGAAATATTAAAATTTGTTGAGAAACATAAGATCTAAAAGGGTTATGCTTTCTGCAACAACGTAAGAGTCAAATTCAATTTCATGGGTGAGAATGTAGTCCCTGGGGTTGGCTGCAAATAAATAGGGAAATATACATTGATGGGTGCAGAATTGAAGATTTTAAAGTGACAGATTATAATCTCTAATTTGGTCTAGTTGCCTGGAAACTAAAGAGAGATTGTTAGCCCTCAAGGGAGGGAGAGAGAAGGGGGAGCGCTAGAGTGGCAGCCAGTATCCTCTCAATCTAACCACAGATTTAGGGACAAAACTCTGGATAAGTCAATGTATGCACTCCTAGAGGTTAAGGAATAGGATTACTCTTATTTGGCGCAATATAATTTTATACGTATTTTAAATGATTTTAATTACTTTATGATTTTAATTACTTTACAATTACTTTACAATTCATAAACTCATTGTAAAGGGGAATGATGCTTTCTTAATTTTGAACTTTTTGTTACAAACTTTGTTTAGTCTTCATAAGTATACTTTTAAAGTTTTGCAAATAGTTTAGTTAACTTAGTTCTTTTAACTGCATTTCTTTTAGCATACAGTAAATTTACTTTAGATTTGTTTTGCGTACTTAAGTTTTGTAGTTTAAATATTGTGTTTTACGTTATAACTATAAGAATTTCCAGAATTTCCAACTCCTTGTGGGATCGATAATTAGGACTCCATTAAAGCCCTTTATTACTTGAGCAATATGTATATTTGTGTTATTATTATGGTTTGGCAGCTTAAAGCTTTTAAAAGATAAAACTATTTATACTAAATTTTTTTTTATTGAACTAAAATTTACTATTTGTGTTGTCGTGTGTGTTTTGTAATTTTGAAAGATATTTGCAACGCATCAGTTTTTCGATGACTGGGTGGTTGTCCGGCTAGGGTCAGGTCACCCTCAGGTTCAAGTGAGCCAGAGAGGTTGAGTGCTAAAGTCAATTTGGTCCTAAGGTGGAAATCTAATGGAAATGTAAGGTTTGATTTAAATTGGATAGCTTGGGTTTAACCCCCTGGTCAAGTGGCTAGGTTTGAACCAAAGGTGGTTAGAGTTGCCCTTAAGACCCCCAAGCAGCTTTTGGTGGAGTAAAATGGCTAACGTGGGAATGGGAGAGTGAGTTTAAATTTGCATGAGAAGGGTAAATTCAAGTGGAGAAGGGAGGAGTGGTCACCTCTACTTGCCACTTTTGGCAAATTTTACCTTGGCATGGCCATGGAAGGTTACAAGAGTCATCATGATGTGTATGATACCATGAAAAATTTTCATGAAAAAGGAAAATTATTTACATGAAATTATTGGTGGAAAATGCCATGATGCCCAATTTTGGTAAAGTGTCGTGTATGCATAGAGAAATTTGATATGATGCGATGGTAAAAAGATTTTATGTGCCACGAGATGATGGGAAAGGAATTTTATCATTTGGGATTTGATTTGGGCTTTAAAATTGAACACGTGGGCTTTTAGAAATCCATATAGGTATGGGCTTTTGGGCATGCATGAATTTTGAAAATTAATCATGGGCTAATCAAATGAAATTAGATTTAATTAAATTTGGAATTAGACATGATGGAATTTGATGTGTGATGTGAAGATGTGTGATGTGAATTTTGATGTGAATTTGAACTTTGGGGAACTTGATTGGCCACGAAGCTCAATTTGGGGCACTTTGAATTTTGGATCAATTTGGGGCTAATGGATTTGCACTTGAAATTAAGACTTGAAATTGGGTTCAATTTGGTTTGAATTTGGTTTCAATTGGGTTTGTACATGGTGAATGTGAGTTTATGTTTGAAATTGAAGAAACCCGAGATCAATTTGGTGGAAATTAAAGGTGATTTGGGGACTTTAGGCGCTTAAGGGCAATTTGGGGATTTTGGTCAAAATGGGTCAATTTGGTCAAATTATACTTAATGAGTGGTCAAGATTGGTTTTAGAAGTGTTTGACATGATTTTGGAGGTTTTTAGGAAAATTTGAGCCATGAGGGACATTTTGGTAATTATTGGAAAGTTTTGGGTTTATTGGGAATTTTGGAAATTTTGGAATGTTTTGGGTAGTTTGGATGGTTTCAAAGGTTTTGGGAAATTTTTTTTTATATAATTGGGTAGTTTGTGTAATTTTTGAAAATTTAGGGTTTCAAGGGTAATTTGATAGTTTTGAGAAAGTTTTGAGACAAAAGGCTATATTGGGTATTTGGGTAGGATGAAATCAATTGAGGATGCTAATCATAAAATTACCCTTTCATAAAATTACCCTTTTTTATTACCCTTTTTTAAACCATGAGACCAATGGAGCTCCCACTATGGATCCTCCATGTGCTCGTCTTAACTAAACCTTAGCCCTCAAGGTTTAGGGGACCATCCACATGATTTTCTAAAAGAATAAGGGATCAAGCTAGGCATGTTTAGTTAAGGGTTTAGGTTGTGAATGAAAGTGTGGGGTTTTAGATTTGTGTGTGTAAGATTTGACCAACACCAGACCACCTAGGGTTTACCCTAAGGACTTACCATCCTATAGGGAACTCCTCTTGAGCTTCGTTATGCTTGGCTTCATCCTGCTAAGTGCTAGAGGTTAGCATTAATCATATGAAACTCCAAGATGAACAAAGAAGAGTCTTAGAATTTTTAATAGTGAGGACTCCATCACTAGTTTTCTAGGATAGTCAACAGGAAAGTCCAATGGCTAGATCCTAGGCTTTTAGAGAAGAGAGGCTAGACCTCAACAAAAAGTGAGATCAACGGGTTCCCACAGGGGCGTTTCTGCGAGGTGTGGTTTCTTCTATTGGGTTGACATTCCAGCATATTCCACTATCCACAATAATCAGGGTACGGTGATTTCCCATGAGGACAGTGCAGTTGATGACATACCGCGTCTGATTTTTATCAACATTTTCATAATTTTAATTGTATTTGTAATTATTTTTTAAATTATTTTATGAATTTTTATACTCATGCGTGAGTGAGGACTGTATCTTATTTTTTTAACTGTTATGTATTGATTATCTGCTTCTGTTGTATCCATTATATATTGTCTAGATAGTTCTATTGCAAACAATTTTACTTAACAGGGGCAGAATAGTCATTTATCCAAAAACAACTGCAAATAAGTTATTTTGAATAAGCTCCCACAAAAACCAGCCAGCTTATTAGAACAATATGAAGATTTTTAGTTTGTTAGGATAATCTGACTGGAGGATAAGCCTTGTTGAACGAGTGCTAGAGGATAAGCCTTGTTGAACGAGTTCATCCGTTAACTTTCAGATGTGTGCTGCTTCTCCTACGTTCATCTGACTGGACTCTTCCTGTTGTTGTTGTTGAGCTCATCTTCTTGTTAATAGCATGTTTTCACGCTCATTGCTTCTTAAAGAATATTGAATCCAAAAGTATCCGGGAAACACATTCAAGGACTAGAACGTTCTGCTAGGAAGTGATTAGAGAAGATAAAGAGAACACAGTAGAGAAGAGTAAAAGTGAGTGTAATCTTTATTCATGATATTGACCCCATATTTATAAGCATATATCATAATATTATAACAACTATATATGTCATCATTGACCTTTCAAAGGGACCTTTTGGTGATTACAAAGTTATTACATATAATAAGACTAGAAAGCGAGTTGATCGATAATAGTTTGTCGACTATCATGTGAGGTTTGACTTAATTGATATTTAATCCGAAAGGGAACCTCCTATCGATCGTCCTGTTGGCTGGCTGACATATTTTTATATGTATAAATGTATTGGAAGATGTATACGTTTCACAACTCACATATAACAAGATATTTTTACAAAGCATTAGCCACAACTTTTAAACCCTATTTTCTAACATCCTAAGAACTAACTTTCGAAACAGCATCACGCGGCTTGGCAGCTACAACTATTACATGCTTATTAAATTCAAATTAGAACTTAGACACTCAAACCTTCCCTCACATATCAATAGCTCATAAATTTAGGTACATAAGTTTAAAATAAATCTAGGCGAATACAAAGGTCATTTTTCTTCTCTTTATCTTGAACTTCAAGATTGAACAAACAGAAGTCTATTTTTCTCATAAATTCCCAATATTCGGATCAAAAGTCGTCAAAAAATAATTACTTATTAGTAAAATTAGCCTTCCATAACAACTAAAATCAAAAGACGGCAAAATCCTCATTTGCAGAGTAATTTCTCACCACCGACCCCGCATTCCTCGTCGCCGCACGCGCTTTTCCTCCAGAGACCTCCTCAACAATCTTCTCCACATCCAAACCCTCGCTCACTTCCTCCCACTTCTTCCCCATCGGAATATATGGTGGTCGCGCAATATCAACCACCAAATCCCAATCAACTCCTCTGAAAAACTCGTGCCGCTTAATCTCGTCGCAAGTGATTCTCTTAGACGGATCATTTACCAGCATCTTTCCGATCAGATCCATTAGCGCTGTCTGTTTGCCGACGAGCTCCGGCGGCTTAGTCAAGATTCGGCGGAAAGTCTCCTTCCGATTTTGCCCTCGAAACGGTGTTCTTCCATACAGCATCTCGTATAACACAACGCCGAGGCCCCACCAGTCCACGGCAAAGTCATGGCCCTTTCCAATAATGATCTCCGGCGCAACATATTCCTCTGTACCGACGAACGATTTTGATTTTTTCGGAGACGGAAGTAGGTTTTCGCCAGCGGCAAGGTCCGGCGAAACGCCGGCGTGGTGGCAGGAGAAGCATCGGAACAGAGGCAATAGATTGTTTGGTTTAGTTTTGGAGAGGAGGGTTTTGGATCGGGTGAAATGGGATTTCGGGGATGAAGGGGAGGTTGGAAGTTTGGTAGATAGGTCGAAATCGAGAAGCATTATGTGTCCGTTCTCCTGAATCAAAATGTTTTCCGGTTTGAGATCTCGGTAAATTATCCCCAAAGTGTGAAGATGCTCTACGGCGATCACCATTTCCACGGCATAGAAGCTTTTGATAAGGAGAGCAAGTCAGATATAGATAGCGTAAAATATAAAGAAATGGAGGATTATTAATTAATTGAATGCATTCACTCACCGTATCATCTCCTGCGAGAACATCTTCTCTGCTTGGCAGCGGCGCACAGTGTTCAGATCGCCGCCAGGGCAGTAATCCATGGCAAAGCCGACGAGTTTGTCGGTGGAGACGATTCCACGGAGAGAGGGGAGGAGGGGATGTTGAAGTGCGAGGAGAACGTCTCGCTCGAACCAGATTCTTCGATAATCGCCATCGCGTGAAGGTTTCGATATGCATTTGAGTGCTAGAGTTCTGCCGGAGGAGAGGTGGCGGACGAAGAAGACGATGCCGTTACCCCCGCGGCCGAGAACGGAAGCGGCTGTTAGGTCGCTAAGTTCTATCGCAGGATGGGGAGATGAGAGCTTCGGCCAGTTGGCCATGCTTGTGCGCCGAAATGGGTGTCTGGCGAAAGGAAGAAGAGCTGGAATGATTTATAAAGGAAGACGTATAAAATGGAACTATTGGAACAACGGGTGGGAATAGCATTATTCTAAATTTTGCTTTTAAAATGAAAGGATATTTTGGCCTGTGTTCGGTATAAAAGAGAGAACAAATTACGTGAAAGCAAATTTTCGCATCCAATTGGCACAGAGTATTTATTTTGGAAGAAATTGATAAAGGAATATTGCAGCGCCGCAGGGCGGAAACACCGAGAGAAAAAATTATTAAAAAGTTAATTAATTAACAAAAAAAAGTGTTAATTTAAAATAAAATTTTATGTTTTATGGTAATTGGTTAATTGAATGATATTGGCTTAAAATTCGATATTTATTTAAAATCAATATAAATTATAACTAAAATTATAGTTTAATTTAAATAAAATATGTTTAAAATGAATATAATATTAAATTATTTTTTATATTCTTTATGAAAACATAATTTACAATTTTATTTAAATAAACTAAAAATAAATCTTTTCTTAACCTGAAGCTACACAATAAATATAATTTAATAAAAGTAGGGAGCTAGTTTTATTTATTTAAAATTTAACTTAAAAATAATAAATAAATCGGCAATTCAAGAAAAAAAAAACTATAATTTTATCTCATATTTTCTATTTTCTACTTTGTTAGCTCAGATATCGCAAAAAAGAGATTTGCTTTAAATAAAAATTAAAATTAGGAATATGCAAAGCAAAGTTCTCTTTTTTAAAAATAAAAGGAGCATTTACATATGTACCCTATAATTCTTTTATATTTATTACATTTATATACGCTTCCATATTAGATAAACAATTTCGCAATTTGTTTTAGACCACTATTTTACATTTTAAAAATGAAAATACACCTTCTAAATTATAAGTAAGATGATATGCATGTAAAATTACTGTTTATGTAGATCGGCAAAAATGAAAGAATTGAGTAATATGGCCAATTTGAAGACCAAAATTTTTAATTATTAATAATTTATTCTCAAATTAATAATTATTTTAATCTTTTCATTTTAACCAAAAATGAATAATATGTTTCTTACAAGTGTTCCTCTCCAATAGTCGAGCAAACGTGATTGTGTAAACACCTTTTCGTTAAAGCAGGCGTACAAATAAATCTTTTAAAAATTTTCTCAACCTTTTTTTATGTTGGCATGAGATCAATATGAACGATTCTATGAATTTTTTTTTATTAAAATTTATTGACCAGAAATATGAAATTTATGATGATAGGGAAATTTTATAATTGATAATATCTGGTGTTAATGATTATTTTATTATCAAAGCCATATAATAATTATTTCTCAATATAAGTGATTTATGTAGCTTTATTTATCCATTGATCTCTCATTCAATTTCATAATTGATATATATTAAGCAAAGATTAATATTCTTCTTTATTTAATATATATGCTGGATCCAAAGGAAGAATACATATAGTTGCTGAATCTGAATTTTTCCAGATGCACAACAATGGGATTTGAGCATTTGAACCAAGAGAAAGGAAGATAATGTGTGTGTGAGAGAGAGAAAGAGAGAGAGAGAGAGAGAGAGAGAGAGAATGTTTCCGTGTTAAACTGGGGATATTATTTGCTCTTGTGATCCTTTTTATATTATCAAATATTTTTGGTTTAGGGAGATGGTGAAGACTCTTGAGTCCCTTCCTGCAAAAAGTACATGTGAAAAAGAAGAGGCGAAAAGGTATTGTTCGATGTGAAGAACTCTCTATTTATAGGAGAGGGTACACAATGAAGGAAAAATACATTTAAAACTTCACTGTATGTGGGGGAAGTAATGATTATTTTACTAAAAAACTCTTGTGATCCCAAAGTTTTTTCGTTCTTTGGCTCAGTCGACTTGGGAGAAGAGGCAAATTGATTATTATTTTCGGTCCAACTTTCAACAACAGTGTGGATTCTTACAGATAGTTAAGAGATCCGATTGATTTTAGTTCGCTTAAAGAGTTGAGTCGGTTGTCAGTCATCGATTCCTGGTAAGGGAATTCTTGTCAGATGAGAAGACTTGCACCCTCGTGCTGATGTACCCGCAAGTAGATGTATTTCAGTTGATAAAAATTTTCTTAGAAAAATATAAAAAATGTGTTTTTGATTTAAATGTAGATGTAGTGTGTTTGTGTGTGTGTGTGTGTGTGTGTGTGTGTGTGTGTGTGTGTGTTATTTTTTAAAATAATATTTTATTTTTTGAGAAAATGAGAGAAGATTGATCTCATTCATTTAATAGTTTAAGTAAACAAGCACAACACCACAAGCAATGCGCGTATACCGAGGAATAGACACATTGCTTGGCAGTAAAGCTAGATTAAATAAACTAATTAATTTATGAAATCCTCTTGGTTTGCGAACTTTTTTTTTTGACCGACAAATCCCCCTATCTAATGTAAAGATTAGATAGATTTTATATTACCTAGATTCTTAGAGCTACTTATAGAGACAAACCCCTAAATTACTGAAGTCACTCCAGAGATCTCTTAACGATGATCAAAGGTATTTATCTTCATGAATTCAAAGTTTTAGGGTTTTCAAGGTTTGGCATAGAAAAGTCAAGTGTGAAAAGGCCTAAGTGTGAACATTTATTTTTAGAATCAAAGGAAAGAAAAACAGGGGATGTCACAGATCCTGAGGAGAGTCTCGGTGACCTCCCAAACTATCCTATTATTTGGCTTTAAATTTGAACAGATGTTATTTGATATTTCATCTTAACAATTTTATTATTTAGGACTTACATCTGCATAATATCCAATTATGCAAATAGCCTGAAAAGAAGTAGGATTTACGTAATACCGAACGACGACCTCAAAATTTTAAGGCGAGTTAGTACTTATATTGCACGATGTACAAAAACTTAAAAGATAAGATGAGTACTTATGTCGCACTAGGCAGACCACCTCGAAGTTCTATATCTTATGTTATTTAAACTAAGAAAAGTGTTAGCTGATGTAGACTTGTTTTGCTATTGTAGGCTGTCATCCCCCGTCTGATGCGGCTTCTTCGTGCTGCCCACAAAGGCTTGCTCCATACTCTATGTCATAGTAGTTAATGGTATAAGGTTTAAGTGAACATGCAATTGTTGGGTCAGTGTCCTGCCGTAGTGTACCTCCTATAATGTGTCCTACTATTCTCTACCCTGAGGGCTTGATCTCGACTTTCTAGCATGATAGTATTACGATGTATGTGCAGTTAGATTCTTGATTATCTTTATTTTATATTTCTTCCTTACAACGGTGCCAAAAACTTTGTCTCAAAACAAGTAAGAGTACAACTGTTATATTTAAATATTGGGATACTACGCAAGTATATGTGTCGTTATCTAGTAATAGAACACTTTTTGATTAATCCCTGAAATATCGAATCCACAGGGAGAACTAAAACTTTTAAGAAGAAATTTAGATAAAAAATTCAACTTTGAAAAAGAGTCTTACTCAAACTATAGATATTATGATAGGAATGAAAGTTCTTTTCAGTTATTTTTTATTATTGAAAATAAAGTAAACAACTTTTTTTTTGAGATTTTGATAATTGAAAATAAAGTAAACAACTTCTTTTTTGAGATTTTGATAGTTGAAAATAAAGAAAACAACTTACTAAATTTAACTAGATTTTTGTAAGATAAAAATAATACAAATAAAATATCTTTTTCCTTATCATGAATCAGTAACAAGTATATGAATTCTGTTGTGAAAGTCTTTAAATAGTGTTGTGTAAAATATGAGTAATGTTAATATTTACCTTTACTAAAGATGTTATAAAGAGCATTGGCTAATCTAATGTTTGAATGAACCTGAAGATGGGTTAGGTAGGGAAGATACTAGCTCTCACTCTAGAATTCTGTTGTGAAATATGAGTAAAATATGTTGTGAAAGTCTTTAAATAGTGTTGTGTAAAATATGAGTAATGTTAATATTTTCCTTTACTAAAGATGTTATAAAGAGCATTGGCTAATCTAATGTTTGAATGAACCTGAAGATGGGTTAGGTAGGGAAGATACTAGCTCTCACTCTAGAGTTTCCTCTTCTCCCTGCACTTGGGACTAACTTCTTGTATCAAAACCCAAAATAATAGATCAAATTGAGGGCTTTAGTTTGTCACTCTAACGTCCTCTAACTCTACACACTTTAAAGTTTATTTCCTTATTTATTTGCACTCAACCATATGAATTACATTCTCATCCATACATTCTCATGCGATTATACTATTAATTGATTGAGATAATACCATCACAGATCTTACATGTTCTCAAAACAAATTTTAACATCTTAATTGGTCAAATCAAGAAGTAAATAAAGTAAAAGAATTAAATCATCACAACTTATTCCAACATTATAGACCAATACTTCACACAACTTCCATTCAACACTTAATTACTTATCATTTTAAGGAAAAAGATAAATAAAACTACTCAAAATTCATGGAAAAAACACAACAACAAATAAGTTTAAAAGTAGAAATCATGTCAAGACGCAAGAAGTCTAAATTAAAACCAAATATAGTTACAAAATTAAAAACTTAGCTCAAATTCCTCTCCCCAAACTCTTGAAGTTCCTTTGAATCTCTTCCTTTCTCTTAAAACTCTCCTTTTCTTCCCTCTAAAAATATCCAAATTCTTCTATAATGAAAGGGGCGACGAAGGGGGGAGGGGCGGCTAATTTAATTCTAAGTATTCATTTTTTATAGTTTTTCAAAAAGGTGTCTTGGAGTTTCTTCAAAATGTGTCCACATTCAATGAATCTCCTAAGAGTTACCTTTTTCAAGAGTCGTTTTAATGTATTTTCATGACCATTAACTGTAATTCACGTTTTCACCAAGAGTTGCTTCAAACAGTCCTTCAAAATTCATCCAAATTCATTGAATTTTCATCATAACCACCTCTGGTGCATAAGCGTGAGATCTTCTGTGCTTAGGCACGACATTCTCCGTCTCTTGGCACTTAAGCATCAATCTTGGGCGCTTAGGCACCATAGTTCATTTTAACACCTTCTTCATTTTTACTACAAATTTGAACATTTTTTAC